TGTTATTGCGACAAGACTCAAACATAAACATGCTATGTGGATAACCGAAGCACATATATTTTATAAATACCCAACCACCTGGCTGCATTCATAGGTGCAAATCTTCTGATTTATATTTCCTATTATTTATATTTATCCCCAAGTAATTGCTGTTTCTGCCATATTATTGCCCATTCAATCGCAATCTAATCAATAAATTGGTTCATTTGTGAGAAAATGTGTTTTTTAAGGCGTATAGCACTTAAATTACCTTGATTAGGCTGGAAATAATATCTGATTGAACTGGCTGCCATTTGTTTAATATGCTTTTTCGGGGTAAACAAATATTGTATTGCGCTTGTCGCCTTAAGATTTAATAAGAGATAAAAATTAATAGGTTCGTGTTATAGGAAATGGGCATACATAAGTAGTTTTCAGTAATAATTTTACAAGTTGTGACAATCAAAGTTTTGGTATTGCACTTGAAACTAGTTCTTCTTAATATTACTGATATCCCTCTAAGCTCCTTTATTTCTTTCCACTTTCCAACCATTAATTAAATGTACTAATAAGGAACTATCTTTCTTTCTCTTTCTTTCATACCTGATACAGCTTTCTCTGCTCTCTCATACCTGCACGCTGCTTCTCATAGATTTCGCCTTTCTTTGCGATTCTCATAGTTTATTGGTGTTTAATGACATTTTGCGAGTGCATATGTATGTATAACACGAATACTAGGATAATATATTCTTTAAAGGATGACTTTAAGTCAAACACATACGCTTTTAAACAGGAGTACACAATAAGTAACCAAATCTTGTGAGCTCTGGCATGTGGCAGCGGCTTTTATGGTTTTAATTAAAATTTTAATTACGCATTTTTCCGGTCAACTCCTGTGACCTTTGAGCTCGAGAATAACAACCAGCAGCAGCACATCTGGCGAGCCTATAACAAGCCAACACAATCTCAAAGCTCTAAAGAAGTGACAGAAATCTCAGTAAGCGGTGGTTAGCGAGGCGAATCGTTGCTATCCGCACTGCTTTAATATTTACGACACTCTCCGCAATCGTTTTGAATTTAATTTGCTGCTTTTTTTTTGGGAAATCTAATTAATTTGAAAAAATGTATGTTAGAGATGGCCCGACAGTGACATCCACAAGTAAACATAACAAGGGGGGGACTCAACCTCAAATACCAGCAATTGCAGCAATACAAATTATTTAATTTGCTCCGAGCTGTTGCTTGTGTATGGAGCACAATGTGTGCTCAGCATGGTCCGCATTGTATATATTGGGAGGGCTGAGGCATTGACCAGTCGCCAGTCATGGTTGGGCAGCCAGTGACCATTCACCGCCCAGTCGCCGACTCGCCCACTCGCCACTTGTCATTCTCGCCCGACGCGTTGCCGTCATTTAATGTCAGTCGAGTTTTGGCATTCGGATCACGTAACTTGTGTGCCACCAGCACTTTTTCATTTTCATTCACTTATGCACGGTGCGGCACCGGCCCCAAGAAACATCATCACGCACTCACCAGGCCATAGAGATCCCATCCGAATGGTTGGCTCTTGGACTCAGCTTCTGCTCATGCTTCTGCTTCTGCTTCTGATTTGTTTTTGTTGTTGTGGTTGTACTTTGACAAAGTGACAAACCGAGCGGTTGACGGACTGACATTGAAATTGAATCGTGGAAATTTCGTGGGCGTACGTGGCGTATATACTATATCTATATATACACAGCGAGTTTTATAATGTAATTTGCACTTAATTGGCCAGAAACAAGCTTTGCAATTACGCATCCCACATTCAAATGTGCACACAGTCTTTCAGTCTGCTCTTCTCTCTCACATATGATGGCAACGGGTCGTATAAGTAATCAATTTGTGTCATTTTTCCGTTTGAGTCTTCAATAGTAATACTTGTAGAGCATTAATTGATTTGATGAAATCTGGATTCTCATAGACCAGCTACCAAATTTGGTATTAAATGAAGCGTTCGATAGGTAAGCTTATTAGACTTTAGCTCGACAGTTTGCAAATATTTTTCGTGCATCCACATACATTTCTTTAAGTTTTTCACAAAAAAACCAAGTTGAATTTACATCCCATTAGTAGAAAGTTGTAGATTATCTCGTTCTGGTTGTGTTTTTGTAAGTTATGCAATAATAAAGTTTCACAATATTCTCCGCCTACGCTGGCTTTTCCACTTTGGATGTAATGAATTTTAAATTATTAGCCTTTATCATATGTGAATTTTGTGCTGATATTTATGAGATATATATTTATGTATTAACTTGTATTAAAATAAATCTATAATTCAATCGAGAGACAAGAAATCAATTGTTCAGCTTAATACAGAGCACAATGTGAAAATGCCAAACGGAAAGACGGGATAAGCAAGTTGGAGTTTTTTTTAATAAAGCAGCATTTGTTAATCAAGACTTCTCCGATAACATACCAATATCATGCTGCATTATTATTTATAGTGTATTCTGTTCTGATCAAAGAACTAAGGCAAACAGCTGAACCGAGTGCAAAGTTCTTGGACGGATGGGGTGCTGAGTAATCTGCAAGCGCTGCGAAAAAGTTGCGTAAAGCGTTCGCTTTTGTGGCTGGCTGAAGGATAAAGTTTTTACGAAACATCTAAAACTGTTTGGGCCAAGCCACGGACCAGGCCGGGCCCAGAGAATGGCCTGGTAGCGCTCTTTCAGTCTTACGCTCGGGTTGCCCTGGTTAACTAAATAGCGTCGGCACATAATTAATTGCACTAAAGAGATTAGTTGCTGTGCATAAGTTTTCGCGGCACAAGAACACAACAGCACAGTTGGTTGAAGAGTAGATCCGGCGCGTAGTCGCCAGCCATGGCCCTCTGTCCCAGTTCCTGTCCCGGTCTCAGTCCCAGTCAATAGTTGCACACGCAATGCCGGCACTGACTTACTCCCAGCTCCTGCCTCAGGCAGTGAGCCAAAGCTGACGACGACGCCACAGTTTGCACCTGTCGAGCAGCTCGCCCATATTCTGCACGCAATCTAATTTAGCTGGAACAGAGAAACGTGCCCGGCGTGGAAATAGCAGCCCCCAGCCCCCCAGCCCCCCCTTTGCCAAGCCCGCCTGCTAATATCATTAAGGAGCTCAGGATACGGAACTGACTGAGTTGTGATATCTTCATATTGAGTGCTGGTCAATACTCCTAATTAAATTCCATAAAGTCAACTAAAATCGCAACAACTCAGGAGTTAATAACTTTGAACGTTGCTTTCGACTGTAACCGACTGCGCCATACTCTGTTCACAGTGTAAGCAACAAATAAGTGTGTCGAAAAGAGTCTTCTTCGTTATTCGGCTAGCGACTTTAAGACTCGAACTGTGACCTTACATATCGATCTTTGGAGAACATCATCATCAGTAGTTCACATATTCCATTTGGGAATATCGAAAGGCTCATCCGCTTAAGCGTAGTAAAATAATAATGCCCAAATAAAATATTTTATAAAACTAACTTGACTTCAATCAAATGTACTTCAGCGCTTGAAAACGTGGTTTATCCAGCTTAAAGCAGCTAGTCGAGCATTTCAGGTAAATTGTTTTTGATGGGCTTCCTTTGTGAATTGAAAGAGAAATATGAAATTTCTTGCCAGTCCATAAAGAAATTGAACAAACAGCCAGAACAGCCAGGCATCCCATGATGATTGATCACTACAGGTGCACAGACACAGAGGAAGGGGGGAGGGGTATGGCTGGTGGGTTGTTAGGGGAAACAGCTCGAGTCAAGGACCCGGCGGAAGGCTGCGAGGCCACCCAAAAGCAGGCGATGCTTGGAGGCATGACTGAACTTGGCGTTGGGTGCAAGATGCAAGCAATTATTTTGAGGGTTAGGCAGCGCTGCCATGCAACTCGCTCAAGGATAATGCACTTAAGCCCCCTAACCTGGTAGGGATTGCGCAAGTTACCGTAACTCAGCTGCTGCTGTTCGCCTTTTGTGCCTGCATGCACATGCATACGAGATGCGCGCCCGAATTTGAATTATTCATCATTGTTGCAGTTGCAGCAAAACGAGGGTTGTTTCGCTCGACCCTGCAGCGTGCTGTCCTTGAGAGGGTTGGCGGCAACAGGCGACGGCGACGGCGATGGCAACGGCGATGGCATCTACATTGTGCATTTGCCGCATCCACAAAATCCACATCACAAATCCAGCATTGTTGCTGCTGTTGTGTTTGGTGGCAATTCGAAAGCAATTTCTGCAGCATTAATCATTCCCCTTATCCACACATGACACTCGACCGCCTGACCCTGCCCCCAACAAAAAGCAAGCAACCATCCACACACGCACACACAGAGTCGACGAACCTTTTGTCTAATGTTGACAAAACGCATTTTAAGCTCTTCAGAATTGCCCTCTTTTGTTTAGTTAGTTGACTGCTGCCCACTGTGCCACACATATGTATGTGGGATGCGCCAAGGGAAGATCTGCTCAGCTCAGCTCTGCATTGAATTTGAATTTGAATTTGGATTTTCGAATTGGGCTGTTCCTTGTTTTCGGACATGGATTTCGCATTTGACCCTTAATACGAACCGACTCTGGCCATCTTTGTTTACCAAAACCCTTAACTACTTTATTGTATAGCTGTTGACTAAATCTCTTCAATACGCCAGTTGCGCATTTTACATGTGAGTGCCTGTGCATACACTGAGCGAAAGGGGATCAACTAAATTACATTTGAAAATGGCACAATAATAAATTCGTATGCAAATTTTCGGATTAAATAGAAATTAAAAACTTAAAGACAATTACCTATTCTTATTGTATTTTCAATATTATTTAATTTCCTCAATATATTTAAAGACCTACCTATTTATTTTCTACAAATAAATTTCTATTCAACAAAATAAAAGTGTAGCTAAAGTAGTTTTTAAGGTAACCATGAAATCCAATATAGATATCAATAATTGATATATTTACACAACTTTTCAATATATATCGAAAATATGATATGGATCGAAAGTTTTTATTTGTACAGCACTCACCAAATATTTTCCACGGGCGAAAGTAAAACTTTGCGCAGTTATTTTTCACTGTTGCTACAAATGCAGGACAAATTAACACAGGACGAAAACGAGAGACAAAAAATTGAAATGGTCCCGTTGCAACTGCCGCTACTGTCTCCGTGTGAGTGTGTGTGTCTGTGTGTTTGTGTGTGTGCGTCTGTCCCCGCGTCCCTAGCCGTGTCCGTGTCCGTTTCCGTGGACGCCACGCCCGCGGCTTTGCTGTGGCACTAAGCAAATGGCTGTGCGAATAAAAACTAAAACTCTGCGCTTGTTTTTGTTGTGTGATTTTCACAGCACACGATTGGGATGAAAGTTTATTCAAGGCAGCCGAGGGTGGGCGAGGGTGGCTGAAGCGCTCCCGTTCACCCTTGGATAGAGGCGCAACACGGCGTGTTTAAGTCACAGCTAGCCCGCAAACTGCACAGTGTACGTTGTGTGTGTTTAATGTTGCAGTTTATTTGATTTTTTATTTAACTTTGCACTTGCACCAACAGATATACATACATACACAGATGATAATAATGTTGTAATTATTATTTATATATTTAGAGAGTATATACTCACTACACTTCGAACACTTTTTGCAGAAAAGTTATTGCGCCTTATGCTGATGCAATGTTAATTTCAATTTCAACCCCCTGCGCCTTGCGACAGACAGCGACATTTGTTTTTGTTTACTGTTCGTTTTTGGGTTTACCGTTACCGCACTCGCGAACGTCTTTCGTCAAACTGGCAAAAAAGTCGCACACTCACCGTAGAATTTCTCAATTGAACTTTGGAAAGTAGAATTGCTGTTTATTACAGCAACAACTGAAAGCGTTTATTTAAAAGCTTCGCTTGAGCACACTCTCAGTGCAATCTCTCTCTCTCTCTCTCTCTCTCCCTTTCTGTTAACCGCACACCCACACGTTCACGCTGGCCTGCTTGGTCAAAGTTGGAGGCGGCATTGACTGTGCAATAACACAAAGCTGGCACAATAAATGCGACGCAACAGCGCGACGAGCTTTTTACGACAACCACCCAAAAATGGCCAACGACGCGTGTCGTTGAAAAGCTCAGCGCACCCTGCTCGTTATGCGCATGCGGCGACATAGTTGTCATGGAAGTCGCGCTCAAAGCTCTGCTCGTTCTCTCTCGTACTTTTTCTCCCCTGCGCGTGTGGGTGGTGGCTGCCCAGCGTGGGGTTGCGGTCTGTTTGAGTTGTGTCCGAGTGTGAGTGAATGATTCTTCTCTACCGCATGTTGTTATTGTTGTTGTTATTATTGTGTTTGTAATAATGCAGCAGCAGCAGCAGCAGTAGCAGCAGCAGGCGGCGTTTTAGCGGCAGGAATGTGCACTTTGTTCATGTTGTTTGTGCTTTGTTGTTGTAGCTACTGCAAATTGCCTCGTAGCGTTTAAGTCGAATTATGAAACTCGGTGCAAGCAGGCACCGCAACACCCCTGCACTCCACAGCAACCCTGCACACAACAGAAGCACCCATGCAAAACGTCAGGAACGGGATTGCGCCTAGGGGAAAATACCTGTATTTTAATTAATATTGATTGAACTTGTTTAAGCGGGACAGGTGTATTTTAATTCAATTGCGTTTACTTTATTTCGAATATTTGTTATGGTCAAATAAAAATATTGACTACAAAATAAAGATATAAAGTAGACAAGTGGACAAGTCTTTGCGATATTTTATAATATATGGCTTTAAGGGAAAATCTCCATATATTTGGGAAAATTGGAAAATTCTAACAAGTGTTAACGACTTAAAGCCCGAACCCAAAAAGATGTTAATAATCTTGAGGTGTTTATAGTTCAACTGCATGGTAATTAATAAGTTTTAAGCCTTAAGTATTATTTAAGCAACAAGTAATTAACAATTTAACAACAACCAAATCACATCTGTACTGAAAATGTCAAGTTTCTAATCCAGCCAAGTGCCTAATATTGTTTTTTCGCACCTGTTGAAATGAGGCTGTTTGATTTGAGGAAAAAGAAAAATAAACTTTCTATAAAAAAAGTCACATCTATTCATAAACAAAACATCAAGTTTATATAAAGGACTTCAAAAATAGTCTTTTTTTTTTAATCTCATTATCAATAAATAATGAATTACTGGCATGCAAGGTGAAAGTCGTATAATTACCGAGTTATATCAAGTTTTATAATATATATTTCACCCAGCGGTATTTACAACCGTCATTAATTACAAATAACGCAAACTTTCTGCCACTTACCCTGAACTTGGTATTTCTAGTATTTTAAAAAATTTATCGATTGGCAAAATATCGTGCAACCACCACCGCAAAAACAGCTGTTCAGCAAGATAGCGTACAACAATTATCGTCCGGTCACAACAAATTCTTGCAACAAGAAAGGAAACATTCTCTGATACCAAAAGAATTTACATTTGAGCACTGCAACGCATAGATTCTGGAAATTAAATAGGTTTCCGTGGACATTGTAAATATGCCTGCATTCGCCTTGTGACAACAACAGCAGCAAGGCGCAATTAAATATTGGGACGAGCTAAAACTCATTGGAACTGCTGCAAGATGTCCACCGAGGAGTACGTGTGGCGCGACCACGTTGTCCAGAAATTGCGTGAGCGAGACCGCAAGGAGTGTGAAACCTTCAAGGAGATCATAGTGCAAAGTGAGAAACATACGTATACAAATGTGGTGTAGCTAGAGCAGGTTCTGACTGCGCCCAGATCTTAATTTGCGTCTTATACTTATTAACACCTTTACTCTTTCCAATCGTAGACAACCGGCTTATAGATCACGTTGCGCAGCTCAAATCGGACAACCTGAAATTGTCTGTGGAGAACGAGCAACTGCGAAATGCTGTGTCAACAGGTGGCACCGGCCCCAATGTAGCCATAGCTACGCTGGAAAAGAAGCTGCTAGCGCAACAAGAGGAACTGACGGATCTGCACAAGCGGAAGGGTGAACACTCCCAAATGATTGTCGATTTAAATCTGAAAGTGGAGCAGCAAAAGGAGCTTATTGCCGAACGGGAGCACAGGTGAGCGTAGAATACCAATCGATGCGTCCATTTAACTCAGCCCTGCTGTATTTTCAGTCTCTACGAACAACAAACTGCCAACAATCGCTTACGGGCTGAGGTGCAGCTGTTACACTCCAGCTTGGAGGAACTTAAAAAACTGAATACAACATTGCTTGATGAGCACACGGCGCTTCAACTGGCATTCAGTTCCCTCGAGGATAAGATGCGCAACGTACAGGTCAGTAGGTGTATGGTCATTCCAGGTACGTCTGACTAATGGGTGTCATCTTGGTAGCATTGCTAACAAATTCTATCAATTATTTTTCATAACATTTAAGTATTGTTAGCTTTCAAAGATTGTAACTTTTTCCAAATTATCTCATTTATATTATAAATTGTATGTCATTATTATTGCCTAGTCGCTATTTGAAGAATTTTTGGTAAGTAGTTAATATATCTTTGTATATTATAGCACAGAATATGTGTGTGGATCGAATAGTCAGATATTTTTGAATAGTTATGATAATTATCTACACATCCAATCCACAAAAAATTGACTAAATTTGAAATGGATAAACAAGACATGCTCTGCTCAATAATATATTCCGTTTATATAGCCTTGTCCGTCTGTCTATAAAGATGTGTTTTGCTATTTTAATTAGCTTTTCTTATTAAGTCTTATATGCAGCGAGGCAGTATGTAATAGAGAGTCGAATTGATTTACTAAATAATAATAATAATATTTGCATTCAATTTGTTCGCTTGATTTCATTTATATACAGATTACAGATACCAGGCCATATACAGCTGTATTCCAAGCGAAATATTATATATAATTATTTGTTATAATGTTCGATCTATTCTCTTGACTTACAGGATGAAAATCGCTACTTGTTGGAAAGATTAATGCGCTATAGGGCCAAAGATGCCGATAAACTGAATGAGGAAAACGAAAGTATCATAAGGTAATCAAATAGTAAAGAATGGTTTTTATTATACATTGCACTATATTCATATTTCAATTACCGGATCGTGCTATTGATATAGTAAACATATCATTTTTATGGAAATGTTGATAAGTATTGGCCAAAACTTTGAATATACATACGTAGGTTTGGTTCGCATGGGTTTCATGCCAAATCAGTCCTCATATTAAGAAGTCTACGAATTTTTATTTTATAGTGTTGTCTATGAAGTTTTTTATGAAAGAACACAACTTTCCACCGATCAAGAGTTCTTCCAAAGGTCCAATTTGTCTTCTTAAATGCTTATCAAAAAACTATCATCATGTCCAAGACAATCTAGGCTCTCAGCTCTGCATTTTGGGGGACAGTTTTGTATCCACATACCTATATTTTAATTTTATTATTGAAAAACAAACTCAAGATTGATGGCATATTGAAATAACTTAGTAAAACTTCGACAGTTAAATAATTCGCAAGCTTGTTCATTGGATCATTTAATTAATTAAACACATTGCTTTATTCAAGGTAAATAATGCTGATTTGTCTCAACAGACGGGCATTCTCGAATTTAATGATTTTTTTTTCTTGTTTTGCTTTTATATGGTTCAACATAAAATATGTAACCGATTTCAAAAATATCTAGAAAAAGACTGCCGTCAATTTTCAGAAAACGTTCGGCAAAACTGAAACGTGACCTGGAAGACGCCGTTCGTGAGCCCAATTCGGCAATAAACCAGATAGTTCCTGCGACCGGCAGCACCCCACTGCATCGTAACTCGAGTCCAGCCCAGTTTAGCGGGACTACTGTGAGCGACGAGGAAATCGATGAGGGCTCTATAAACGGCGCCATGGAAGCTTTGGGACTCAATGATGAGGAATACATCAGTGCAAGATTCACAGCCGGTGAAATTGGCCATGATATAGCACGGATCGGTGCGAATATGTCCATGGAAACACTGAAGGCGGCAGGCTACCTGGGCCAGCCAAATCCGACCAAAATACTGATGAAGTTTGAAGCCCACGAGAACGAGTCGCATGCAGTACGCTGGAGTCCGGTAGAGCGCATGGTAGCTACGGGCGGCGCCGATCGAAAAGTCAAGCTATGGGATATCGGCAAAAGTAATTACTGTGCTGCAAATGCAAAGTTCTGTGTTTTTTTTTAAACATGTATACAATTCTAATTAGGTTCTACGGAGCCCCGTGCTGTGCTTAGTGGTAGTAGTGCCGGGATTAACTCCGTCGATTTTGACTCGACCGGCGCTTACATTCTGGGTACATCAAACGATTACGGCGCTCGAGTATGGACGGTAATGGATAACCGGTTAAGGGTGAGTGGTAGTTAAATGTAAATGTGAGTGATTGAATATAATTAAACCAAAAATGGAAAAACCAAATAACTATTTGAGCAAGGCATAAACTATTTAAGGCATACCTATGAGTAATTGTCTTTTCCGACTTATAATGTGCCTGTTCTTATCTTTAGCCAAATACAACTGGGAAAGACTATGATACACAAAACTGAAATCTAAAAAAATTCATCTAATATATATATATATGTTCTCGAAACAGAGAACTTCGTATAGATTAATTAATTCTTAGAAAGACCTAAAAACTTGTTGATACAATTATCAGCAAGTGTTTATCAAACTTGTCTAGCCTTTTATGGCAATACTTGTTTACATGTTTTCCCTTTAACTAATATTCAAATCAAGTGATAGTGCTCTAGGTTAGCGTGACCGACTGGGACACACCCTGTTAAAATTCGAAACATTTGATACATTTCTATAATATTTGTCTCGTAGAATTGCAAGCTTTTTGTATGAGTATTAAAGATAGAATTATTTAATTTTATTAAAACAGTTATTAAACAAATCAGAAAAATTGACAAGTGCATTAGAAAACAGTCATCTATTTTTCCAAAATTAATAAATTAATATCGTTTGTTATTGCTACTAAGTATTAACTATTGTTATATTATGGTTTTGCAAAATTTGACACTTAGCAAATTGTTAAATTTCGAAATATCACTTGTTTATATTTTTAATTTGTTCACTTAAATTAAGCTACGCGTTCCTACGTTTTCATATCTAAAATATTGCATCATGTTGCACCGACTCCAAGATTTCTCACAATTCTAAAAAGGCCCCAATTACATACTAACTACCATAGTTTGGGCTCCCAGGCTGGGGCCCGGCTGCCAAAGTGGGTATATCGAGTCCGCTCGCTGGGTGGGTTATCAGATTATTTATCAAATGTGATATTGTTGCAGTTATTGCCCCGGTATTTTGTGGCCGCATTCGGAAAATGATTAACATATGGCTGGTGAACCTGTCGTCGCCGGTATAAAAATGACCAAATGGCAATAACAATGAACTGGGCCACAAAAAAGACAGTGGCAGCAACAATAAAGCCTGTAACAAAACACATATAAATCAATAAATACCTTTGATCTGGTATTCCTTTATACGTACCGATGCCATCAAAGCATAAACCAGGCACCGTGTCATTGACAAAGAGCACATTGTCATAATTATCGTAGTCCTTGACCCTATTTGTCTGCTGCTCCTGTTGCTGCTTCTTAGCGAAACCAAATTTATCGGTTATCTGAATCGATTGCACCAGAAGCAAATCCTCCTGGCTGGGCTTGTTCTTGACCATGCCAGCCTTAGCCTCGCGACTTGTGCGCCACAACAGATGCTGCTGGTGACCCACAACGTTTGCTATAAGTGTACGAATTGGAACTGTTTAGTTTTGAAAGCTTTATAGGATATGGGGGATATAAGGATAGGAACGATTGAATATATTCTCGTTTATCATTTGCTTCACCAACTCTTCCCATTTTCAAAATATCGATAAATATCGATTTAGAGGCAGCGAATTTTAAGCATAACTCTTAAAATCAACTATACGTACATTCTGCATAAGTCTCGCGCTTCCGCCGGCGTCCATAGGATACTTGTGTCCTAAACTCCGCCGTAATGTCGTCCTGTTCGCATTGCACCGGCTCACAGCTGGGCATACAGGGCGTTACCAAAGCACGGAACTGTACCACATCACTCGATGGGAACTTGAAGGCATCGAAATTCGAAAATAGAATCTTGCCCGACAATGCACTTTTGTAGATAGGCCCCATGATGAGGTGATCTGTGGGGCAGCCTTGTGAGTCTATTAGCGTTATCTCTGCGTTATCAGCGCCATCCATCGCCACCAGTTCACGTACAAATATTTCATAGGGGCTCTGTGGATCGGCTATTTCAAAGTTGAGAGCTAGCTGATCGCCCACCTCGGCGGAGCGCATCATGTCGGAGCCATCTCGGGAGGTGATTCTCATCAGAACATTGGGCGAATCGACGATAACCTCCTCGGAGAGCGCTGTCTCCACATCGCCCTTCACGCCCAGGTCAACATCATTTGTCACCGACTTGTTGGTCAGATCATATTGGCAGGTAACTGCCAGGCCCAGATCTGAAGACGTGACTATGGTGTCGTGGTGCTGAATGACCACATCGTTCATGTAGCGACCCGAGCCACTTTGACGCACATTGCACTCGAGATTCTGGTAGCCCATGCGTATCTCAAAGTCCAACGAACCGCTCACGTCCACGGCACAAGATTTGGGCGCGCCCTTGGCATAGACCTTGCCATCGAAGAGCTTAGATGTGCGTATGCGAGCGACCATGTCTCCTGCGCCGCACTCGATGGTCACATTATAACAGGATGACAGCTCATAGGTAGACGCCTCTGGAACCTCCAAATAGGGATCTTGCACATCTGAAAGCGTTGCCCGACTGTGGTGCGAGAGGCGGCAGACCATGTCGCCGGTGTCCCCATAATCATACGAATGGCATCTGAAACGACAAGAGTTTTGATTACAACATAGGATTCTAACTAAGCTTTGATTGGGTGTCTTTCTTACCTGTATGGCGAATTAAGACACAGATCGCGGCACTCGTCAACGCTGCCAATATCTTGATATACCGAGTCAACAGTTTTCAGAATTCTGCCCGGCAAGCGCTTGAATTCGCATAGCTTATTCGGCTCCTCCGCACAATTGTTTTCCAAATATTCTGTGCCGACATGTGCCTGGAAGGAGTTCGAACCCGCCAATGTAAAGCGGTCCATTTCGGCTAGCTCACAAGTTTTGGATTCGCGATAATAGTTTGCCGACCTGCAAGAAAAATTGAACAAAATATGGAATCAATATTTTGCCAGATATCTAGGATTTTCTTGCCACAATAAAAACAAGAACCTCATTCTATGCTCTGCCCTGTTTCTCCAGCTGGAACAGAGAATGTATCTGCACTTGTTTTCTCCTAATAATTTAACTACTCGCAATAAAAATCCTCTTAACTTGATTCACCTGCATATGAATTCAGTTTCGCCGAGACACAACTCGAGGCAATCACGACGAGAGGTGACCGAAATGACCCGTTTAGCATGTCCATCCAGTCTGTAGTTTTGGACTCGATCAATACACCAAGCTCTGGCACACGGGCGCACTCCCAAGCAGGTTTTTTGTGCATATATCGTAAAAACTGGAAATTGTGATTTTGTCAGGGCGCCTAAAAGAATGGAACCATTAATGAACCTCATTAAACTTAACCGATTTACGAATTAAACATAAATAAATGTAACTTTCAAGTAAAAGCTTTAACCTTTTGACCTTAACTTACCCGGCAAAATATCAGCATTAGATGAGAATAGAACACAAAGTCCTGTCTCATAGTTGACGGCCTGACATGTTTCATTGTTCTGACAAGATTCCAGACAGTCTGTGAGCATCAAAGTGCCCGGTAATGAGTCCAGCAGTCTTCCCGGCGCTGAGAAAACATAACTGTAAATGATATTCAATTACAATGATAATAATTCATAATGAATAAATCATATGTATATGTTGCCCCAAAGATCGTGAACACTTAAGAAAATAAGCTGTTATTTTGCAGAAGAAATAAAAGCTCACTTCGGCTAGCCGAAGACTAAATACACTTTTTAAAAAACATTATGTGCAATCGATTGTTCCTTTATAATAAAGTTGTACGATTTGGATGGGCCTAATTTAAGTGTGGATTCTAATTAGGATTATATAGGATATAGTTATAAACTTTTTATATAACATTGGCCAAAAATAAACTTTGTCTGGGATTTGAACCAGCAACCTTCTTGTTCATGGTTCATTGGGTTAGCCTATCTACCGAAAAATGCAAATAATATCTTTATAAGCTGATCCAATAGATTGCAATATAACTGTTTTTGTATACTTAAAATCTGCAACGAGTTGATCCATTAAAAATCTTACCCCGTAATAATTTCAAAGCCCAGCAAATCTGGGTCACACTCCTCAACCGAATTGTGATAGTTTGAATGGCTGGCTGGCAAAATGCGCTCAAAGACAGTGTCCTCAACGATGTGGGGCTGATGTGTCTGTTCGCTGGATAAGGGCATTTGTGCGTCTGCCAGACTGGCATCTATCGGTGGAAAATGACCAGTGTCATGGTTAATCGCGGCATTATCGGGCCGAGTTAGCCGCAGCTACTGTATTGCAGGTATTTACCGTCAACCAATTTGGTCTTTGTTGGCGCAGCCCCTCGCTGCCCCGTGGCATTGGCCACGTACAATGATTGATCATTCTTCTGGCTGGGATCAGCTGCCTTGCTGTCGGTGCTCTTTGTTTTGTCACTTTCAGGCATTGATGCTGCTTGTTGTGGTGGTGGTGGTGCCAGTTGAATGACGACTGGCACCAGGTCCGCCAAATTGTCCCTGCCTCCAGCTGGCTGCAGTGTTGCGGCCGCATCTCCTGGCTGTGGGCCCAGGCAGGCGAGGAGGAGCAACAGGAGGAGGAGGAGTGAGTGCGTTGGCCTCATGCTGCGTAATGGTTTTATGCTGCTTTTCATTGGAAATATTTTCCTCGATATGCGTGGACTGCGCACGTTGTCTATTTTTGAGCTCCTCGTAGCCGGCACGCTGAAAAACGTTAAGAAAAACAATAGCAAAGGTATTAATTTAATTATCTTTTCGTGCCAGCGTCTCGAGGTGTCGTTTAGTCCGTTCAATTGCTCTGGCGCCCTGCCAGGGCAGATACCATTATGCCCATCTAATTGTATGTAAGTAGTTGTTGTTAATAAGCCTAATAGGCTTATTATGGTCTAATGACCTTTGCGTTTATCTATCTATCTATCTATCAGGCAACCCAGAGGCACTTTTTCTCTTACAATAAAATCTTTAGAAAAACAATCTTTGTTATTTTAAATTAGAGTTGGGCATGCCCAAAGGCAACTCCAAGCCTTCCAATAGCTTAAGTACTATTAATAGTTAACAAGTTAGACACCCTGAATCAAGTTAAAAGCATTCTACCTTTGTTCTATGCACACATGCGTACATACATACATACATACACATTTATGCACGAACGCGCGCCGCAAGCTGTGCACCTTATGCAGTGTCTGTGCTTCTTCTTCTCTTTGCCGCACTCTATGTATGGGAAATGCATTCTTGGTTAACTTCGGTCTTTATAGTCCGATCCTTATGCCGTTTTATGGGCTTAAATATAGCATGCAAAAATGTGTCTATACCAAAGTGTAAGCTTCTAGCTGGACAGATGAGATTTTTTTTTCATATCTGGAGGGATTGAGGCGAGGTGTCCCTAGAGTAAAACATTCTTAATCTGTGTATTCTATACGAGAACCAACAAGTTCGGGTTATCTAAAGATATGATATATGATTTAAAAGAGAATAGCTTTTCGCATTTCAAGTCTCTTGGGATATGGCTAAACCAGTATGTTCAGATATTCATAAAAAAAAATGCAAGCGAGAGCAAATTAAAATATATATATTCTGATCAAGAATTTATATGTATATCAACTTTAAGATATATACTTTTCTGATTAAGATATTTTGTAGAATATAGGTTCGGAAACTAGCTTCACTTCTACTCGAACAACTGCCTTTTTGTCGTTTTCTATATGTTTGCTTAGTAAGAAATGCTTTTATATTGATTTAAGTCCAGTCCATTGTTAACTTGGCAAACAATCCCAATGATCAAAAGACGCTACAGTTAAGAAGAAAAAATAAAACACAGCCAACTAACGAGGCTACTGAACTTTTTAGTTGACATCTATGGAATGACACAAACATCTTGAATGCAACATTGACGAGTGACATCTGCTGATTGACAGTTTTCGACGTAGACCAACTTGTGGATTATAGTATAAGTCTTAAAATGTGAAGAGCAGAACAGAAGGAACTTTTAGTTTGTGTTGAATGAACAAATGGGATAGTAGACTATAGGTATATATTCATGATCAGCACGATCAGGTGAGGCGATCTAATGTTTGTCCAACAGTTTGTCGATCAGAGTATTAGCAAAATCGAAAACTATCGATTTATAGTATATTACCTAGTACCTAGTACAAAAGTCAGAATTATATCGATTAAATCGAAAGTGAACGAAGCGAATCAATCTTTAAAGGAGGTGCACGTACATTGCACAGATCTAAAAGACTCTCTTCAGTTTGAATAACTATTTGAGTACCTTCCTTCTTCCGTCGCAGTCAAAATGGAAATTATGGATTTAGCTGCATGTCGTAAACATGAGATGAAAGCAGACTACTTTAATATGTTAGTGGGTTTTTGTTACCGCTGCATTTCCCATGCAAGATATTAGCATTTTAATTTATTTGCGTTTCCACACATGACCCTATGTAAATTAGTTACAGATTGTAAACAAAGGTAACAGACATTTCTGCATTATAACCCATTTTCAGACGAGATGGAAACGAAGTGTTGCCTGTGCAGCTATTATCTGGGATATATGCTTAAGAGTAATCGCGTTTGCTGCAAGAGAGAGTTATCTTTTAGTAGAGATCGGGTGTGAATTAAAGATACATTAATATACGGACAGATCGATTGGTCTGGTCTGCTGATGCTGATCAAGAATATATATATGCTATTTGAAGGTTCTTTGTAAAATATATTATTCTTTTTGCCGGGGAACAGAGTTTAACAAGTGAAGAGATCTTTAACAGAAAAGCATTTCCAGGAGAAATTTGGAGAAAATAGTTCTGCTGACGGTTCTCGAGATATATATATGTATATATATACATATATACTTATATTAAGAACCAGATTGATTGGGCGCAGGCGTCCTCCTTTGCTATGCATGTGCACATTGCGAGCAAATCAAATAAATTGTTAAATATGACAACAGGCTGAGAACCCGCATTGACTTGGCCTAAATAGCATCAAGGCAACTTAGGCCTGGCCAACAGCACCAGCAACAGCAGCAGCAGCATTTGGTGCTACACATTGCGAGCATGTGACTAAACATATAAGTACGATTTCTTCCTACTCTTTCTATGCATCTATCTAAAGTATCTGCTGCTGCTGCGGCTGCGGCGGCTGCTGCACCACCTTTTCTAACTGGTATTTCTGGATTGACATTTAAACGGTTCTTTTTGCGCACATCTTGAGATAGTCCCGCTGTCCGCGGGCATTGAAATGAGCACATTGACTTAAGCTGCCTCCTCCTTATCATGCCGCGATTCCCGCGACAACTTCCAACTTGCTACCACAACTCGGCTGAATTATTGCTATTGAATTAATGACAAGCGCGGAGATCACTCGAAACGGTTTCCAATACCAATACCAACATTTTGTTTGGCTGGTTATTTAATTGCCCAAAACGAAATACATGCCCGATTGCATTTCTGCCAGCGCGACCCAATTCCTTAATAAACCTATTCTCAGGCGCAAAACTGTGCTCATTATCCGCCGGCCTCTAAATGGGCCTTTTCGGGCAGACGTAACCCAGTTTACTTCAGCGCACCTGACTTGTGTGTAAAAAACATCCACGTATCTCAACAGCCTAATTTGTTGTATAAAATTACATAATAAGCTATATTCAAGGTATTTAAATAATTATTAAACAAGGCTGCAAAAAGATTCGAATCCATTTAAAACTTTACTTTGAACTGAAAACTCACAAAAAATAATCTAAAAATATATATAATCTAAAAAAGTTTTCGTTTTCAATTACACTTAGTTTAAAGCTAAAAATAGTTTGAGTAAACTCTGGTCCCATTAAATTGGCTTCCGACCATTGGATTTATCTAACCATATTTGGTAGATGTCAATTTTGGGTAGAGCTTAAATCTAGCCCGCAATTTCCAGATGAAAATATGTTTAGGTATGCAATATTTTCACTAGAACGGGCACTTAAAAGTAAAATAATTATTTGTTTAATTGAAAATTTAATATTATTCATATAATAAGCTTAGATCCAAAATTAGGGTTCAAGCCACCAGAACCAAAAGAAGGCTAGCTCGACCACCAGCACTTTTTCTTGAAGCTCAGATTAATATAGGTACACTTAAATAAGTAAAACTACACTTAGATCTACACACCTTAAACACCTTAGACCCTTCTGGTTTTGGCAAACTTTCCATTTTTAAATCTTTATCAAATTTCGGGACTCTTCCTAATTTACAAATAGCAAATGCATTTTTATAATTAATTAATTAAATATAAAATAGTATACTAGTTCGTCTTCTATGCCCGTCCCTCGTCACTTTTGAAGAGAATCTAAAACTTGTAATATGTGCTCATGTATGAAATATATGCGCTTCAGAGAAAGTTCTTAAATTTGGGGTCACGGATAAATAGCGAATCGAATCTGCAGCAACATGACTGCGAAGGTCAGTTGCAAAACGAGGAGAAAAAAAAAACATTTCCAATTTCGAAAATTAAAAGTGTAAAACCTTGTCACATAAGAATTTACGGTTTTAGGGGCCCGGCTTATGCTGTTGCATAAGTGCGACCTTCACGAAAGATCGAGTCAGAGTTCCGCCTCTGCAGATGTCAAATAAACAATTCAATAATCCAAAATGATACTTTTCCACCTGTTGCTCGCTCTTGTTGCACCTGACTGCAACTTCCTCTGACTGCTATAAATAAACCCTTTTATCAAGTTTATGCGTAGGGCATAAATGCAACTAGTTGCTTTTTAGCACTAAATTGAAATGTTTTCAATTACAATTTATAATTATATTAATTGTTCATAATATTTAGGCACAACCTACCTTTGCGACACTAAGTACCTTTCTGTCTCATACATGATTTTAATATATTTTTTTAATTATTTAGATTTAACTGTATTTAGTTGACACCGACGCACAACACTTTAAATCATATTAGTTTCAATAAAAGAAGTTCGGGTACTGATCCAACTCTTGCACAGTTGGAGGACGTACTTGATGACTGAAAGGTTGCCGCAGAACTAAAGCCATTTGACCAATGTTATGTTCTTATATTTATAAGTTAAGAGGCCTTTCCTCGCTGCACTTAGACAGCGAACAGTTGCATGCTCATTCAGCATTCCATTGAAGATTGAAGCTGAACCTGGCACTAAACTTAGTTTGAATGTGTGAAAATGTAAGAGAGGAAGTCTATGTTTAAATTCTGACAATACGTCAACCTGTGCCAAACTTCTAAGCCAAAGTCTCCACGGCGAGAGCAAAGAAGAGCGAATGAAAGAGCGCAGAGAGAAGCCAACGATTAAACCTGTTGTCTTATTCTGGTTACCTGCCAGCTCCAAGTCTACAGAGCGTGCATTGACCGTTCAGCTTCAGTTGCCGGGTTGATAACATTCCCCTTTGTGCTCTTTCGGAGCCCGGTTAAGAGCAGTAGGAGCTGCACATCACTTGCTATTGCCAAGAAAAACTTGGTCAGGGACATGGACAGGCTATTCTGGTTACCAATACCCACAACAATTTTATTTGCATTGATATATACATGCATATATGCATGTACATATATTTATGTTTTGGCATGAAACGTGTTACGCACTAAAGTCGACCCCATAAAAAAAATATATACATATGTCGATATAATTGATAAGTGCACTGAACGAGAGGCTGCAAACTTTGTGATCGCTCATTTTGAAAGTTTTTAATATAAGTAAAACCTTGCAATCTTTGAAGTCTGAGATAAAGTCAAAATTATTAGAGTTAAACAAACTTAGCCGCAAAGGTAAATGGCTTTTGGCCATGAATAGCTGCGTTCTTGATCCTAACCGTAACTTTCTTCCAGTACATTAAAGTGTTGCCACTCTTAACCCTTGTCCACCCAGGTTTTTATTTAGCTTCTTCTTTTTTTTGGAGCAAACGCCAAGCACTTCAGAGACAGAACTGAACAGAACATAATTCAATAATTCGCTTGTTGTTGTGCATGGTTTTGTGTTTACGACAACTTTAATTACATGTCGTTCTTGGTAAAACTTAGCCTCGCCGAGTAATTAGTAAGTGACTTTGAGCGTATTACGCACATCTTAGACGTCCCAAAATTTATTGCTCACATATTGTCAACGCGCACGGTTTATATTGCCCCCGGCTGTAACTATGTAATTGCCTGCATATATTTGTTCTTTAACGGACTTACACTTATCTTCCGCACGCTAAAGCACACACTGACGGGTCACAGTGGCAAGGTGATGGCCGCCAAATATGTCCAAGAGCCAATTAAAGTGGTTACCGGAAGTCATGACCGCACTTTAAAGATCTGGGACTTACGCAGCATTGCCTGCATCGAGACCAAGTTTGCCGGCTCCAGTTGCAATGATCTGTGCACAACGGATAGCCTCGGCTCGACAATAATCAGTGGCCATTACGATAAGAAGATCCGCTTCTGGGACATACGAACGGAAAAACAAGCTGACGATGTGCTTATGCCTGCCAAAATCACCTCGCTGGACTTATCAAAGGGTGAGAGTAGCTCAAATGATTTGACTAACAAAAACGAAATGTTAATCTTTAATCTTTCTTCCAACAGATTGCAATTACCTGATATGCTCCGTGCGAGATGATACAATAAAACTATTAGACTTACGCAAGAATCAAGTTATATCCACATTTTCGTAAGTTCAATTCAACTGTCGAACCGAATATAATAATATAAATAATATGCTTTCATACCACAGAAACGAGCATTTTAAGATCAGCTGTGATTTCGCCCGGGCTGCTTTTAATAATTGCGCTTCAAAGATCGCCTGCGGATCGGCAGACGGGGCAATATATATATGGAATGTGAACGGATTTCTCGAAACTACGCTCAAGGGCCACAGGTGTGTTGTACTCAAAACTAGGCAACAATCCATGGACGCCATAGTTACATACCTTTACATTAGTTGCCTTTGTTTGTACTTTTTGTCATGTTGTCAATCCTAACGCAACTAGTTCTGGTTCCGGTTTCTTTTGCAGCACGGCCGTGAATGCAGTCAGTTGGAGTCCAAACAGCAATTCGCTGGCGTCTGTGGGGAAGAGTAAAAGATGCATCATTTACTCCGACTCGTAGCCCAAACTGAAACTGCGAAACAAATGAATACATATAAGTATGTGACTAACACAAGACGCTTTCAGCTTTTTATCATTTAGATACACTTACTTTTGTCAGGCATATAGTTCCGGATGATGCATGTAACTGAGTACAGCAAGTCAGCCTTGGGTCATTGGCTACCACCTCCTTAAAATTATTATATGTATTTTCATGTTATATTATTATATCTTGTATCTTGAACCAGCTTTTTACCGATTCAAATTTTTATGTAATCAACTTTTTTACACACACACACCCACACATATTTTGTATGAAATTCTTATTATAGAGTTAACTTTAGATGGTTACCCCTATTTTATATGTATGTATGTTTTACCCTTTAAATATTTAGTTTTGAATTTTTATGTATTTAGGTTTGAACGAATTTAGCAATTAATACATATGTTATTTCAAAACAAAATATTTATTTTATAAACACGTAACAATTATTTTTTAATTGATTAAACAAAAAATGTAAAAAATATTTTTTAAACTTGTAAATATGAAAATATAAACTACAAAAAAAAAAAACATATTTCGTGTTTCTTTTAGGATGTGTTATAATTTTGCCATTAGATGTGTAACGCGTATAAGGAGACATCTCCGACCTCAAGAAGTATATATATTCTAGATCAGAATCAGCAGCCGAGTTGTTACATAGCTATGTACGTCTGTCCGACTGCCTGTTTCCATGCGAACTAGTCTCAGTTTCAAAGCTATCGTCTTTTAACTTGGCATAGGTCCGTTGGTTCCTGTTGTAGGCATGTATCGGTACCAGCCGGATCGGGCTACTATATCATTATATATTAAGCAGTCATAGGATCGAAAAGTAGGTTCCTGCACGTACCCAAGATATTCTTACTATCTCGTTTATTCATATATTGTTTCGATAAATATCTATAACATCTTAATTAAATCTGAATATTTGGCAAATTGAAATATTAAAGCGTAGAACAAAAAACTCTGACTTGGCCAAATGAAAGCGTTAGTAATAACACGCCTCATCTTTTCGGTCTGCCTTTCTTTGGCTAACAACATTCTTTTATCTAAAACGTAAGAGGCAACAATTTAAATCATCTGCTGTTGGCATGCAGCAGCATTTAAGCAGCCGCAAGAATGCCGAGTCATTATGGCATTAAAAATAATGTTGCCTTCATCGTTATAAATTTGAAGTGCTTAATACCCTGTGGTAGCCGTTAAAATTGGATAAATAGAGGGTATTGTAAAGTTGCACGCCGCCAGTACATATGTCCAAGCTGGGCGGATCGGACCAGTATACTATACGATGCCTGTCATGGGAACTTAAGGGCGACAACTTGTACGAAAGAAATGTTTATTCTTTAGATATCTTAGGAAGACTAGACAACTGGGCTTGCCATATTTACAAAATCTATGAGTATGGGTGGAAGTTGTGAATGTCTGTCGTTTTTGCACTTTCAAATCTTCCAATATACTATTTATTCTTTATTATTTGTTGAAAATCTTCGAATATTCGCAAGATAATATAAACAATTGAGCCCCATAGAACGTTGCCATTTAACTGTCAATTCAGAGCCGAACATAAATGCAATGTCAATGCTCCTTAGTGACATTTAAGTCATGAAGAGTTATCATAAAAATCACAACATTTTCAGCTAACTTCGCTTAGATAGCCGACTAGAGGTATTTTATAACAAAGCGTTGGGCATTAAATGAAAGCAACTAAGTCACTTGGTAGAGCTCTGTGTGTGTGTATAGACTAGTTGGCAAAGATCGTTTACCTTGGTACACTTGAGTAAAGTAATTTTTTAATAGCACGAATGCTTTTCGTGTGGATAATGAGGTGCAGAAATCTAATTGCTCTGCAGGTACAGTCCACAGTCACTCGACAGGGACACATTCGTGCAGCCCTTTTATTGAAAAATGTATTCACTTTGGCACGACAGTTGCCACTGCGATGTCCAATCTCATGAGATCGTTTACCAGCAGGGCCCACCATGCATGTGTATATGGAATTTAGAGAACACATCAATGCCATCTTTGCCTACACTGAGAAAATAGCTGGCAAGCACTGCTTCGCTATTTGCACGCATATTAAAAGGTTTTTGCAGTGTAATTATGTGACCCAGGCTGCGAACCGGGCTAAGAGCGAACCGATTTGAAACGGGAGTTAAAGATTTTTATTCAAAATGCACCAAAACTCAAACCGTGCTATTTGGCTAAAAAGAAAAACAGCCGAACCGGAGGCTGAACAGATTTTTTCGAAAAATGGTTTGGTTCAACACGAAAATTAAACTATTTTTGATATAAACAAATACTTATGTTCGTAAAGTAAATCAAATTTATAATAAATAGTTCAATTGAAATGTAAAAAACCAAGGCTCCAACCAAAAACCGATATCCCTACAATCGGTTCACGAATCGAACCTTAGGTTAGAACCCTCAGTGTAAAGCGTGAACCGAACCAACGAAAGTTCTTGTTAGAGAATCTGAAAACTCTGAAATTGGTATTTATATAAGTTTCTTTGCATCCGATCAAGTGTGCGCACAATTGCAATTAAGAACTATTTACTTTTCTAAAATAACGAAGCACGCAGCAGCAAACTGTAAATGAAAATTGAAGAGGTTCCTGGAACGCGAACGCGAGCCGCGAATGTGAACGCCCACTTGAAGCTACCCGAAAATAATATGTGCACAGTCTCTCCGGCAGCATTATTATTGGCGACACCATGATGCAGGCAACGAACGATTCACTTTAAGATGTGGGTTGGACGTTCCACTCATTGCGACGCTTCTTGCCATTATCATCCAGCGGCCGGCCAGCTGCGCACCTGCTTCAAGCACCAACAGAAATTTATATATATGTATATATATATCTGTATGTATGTATATATATAAATAAGTGGAGTTGGCTGGAGCCGATGGTGTGCATCATGCAAATTAATGCACCCTCAGTGCAACAGGAAACAGGCTTCGTGCAGATTTGTATCTTTATCTGCTGGAAGACCAAACACACATTCAAGAAGGTAACTGCTGTCTGGTCGGATCGGATCGGGCCTGGTCTGGTCTGGTCTGGTCTGGACTGGGCTGGCCTGGGCTGGGCTGGCCTTTACCTCGCGCCACACGCCCGCTCCCTCGCACAGTTAGGTGCATTCATCTCAATTAATTCACTTACAAAGCAAAAGCAACAACAACAACAACAACGAAAACAACGTTAGGAACAGCAATAAATACGCCTATATACACATTGCGGAGGAGCTGCTCATGAATTCCGCACCGACTCTAAGCACTTTGCTGCAATTAATGATAAAAGGTCGTCATCGTCGTTGTCGTTGTCGTCGTTGTCAGTGCGCCTCTTAAATTAGAAAATTAGGAAAGTTTTTTTAATTAGCAGCAACATGCAAGCGTTGAGATGACAATGTGCTTCAGATTTGTGCTTCAGATTTATGCCTTATATCTCTCACATTAGCACGAATCGTTATAAAACTATCGATGTTAGCCCACAGAGATAAAATGCCAAAAACCAGGGAGAACATGCAGCAATGTTGCTGCCCGGTGTCAACGACTGCCTAATACTCATTCACAGTCAAATTACAGCTTTAGGCCAGCCTAAACTTTAAGCCAGCGTAGATCGATCTTTGGAGCAGCTCGTCAGTAGTCTTCATTCGCACTCTAAAACTGTGGAAGATATAGGTTTATAAAAAGTTGTCGCTCTAACCGATCCTGTATACCTCCAGTGCAATATACATGCTTTAAGATCAATCTTTGGAGCAGCGCATTAGTGGTCTTCATTCCCAGATACAGGTTTATAAAGAGTTATCGATGTAACCGATCTGCCATGCCCATGATCTTTGGAGCAGCTCATCACTAGTCTTCACTCCCAATTCGGTAACTTGCTCTAAAACTGTGGAAGATATATATTTATGACGATCAATTTTTAACACGATCCTCAGTAGTCCTCATTCTCAATTCGAACACAAGAGCAAGAGCTTTAAAACTGTGGCACCCATAGATTTGTGAAGAGTTATCGATCTAAGCGATCTTCCAAGTCTCTAGTGTAGAGTGATCTCTGGAGCAGCCCAATTCAAATACTCAACTTCCAAAAAGGTGGAAGATATAAAAAGTTCTGTTATTTCCCTTGTAATACACCACAGTTACACAAGAGCATAAATTACAAGCTTAAAGTCTCTAGCTTCACCTACCTAGAGACTTAAACCTATATACTCCTTTTACTTTTTGTGAGCAAGTATATTAATTAACTACAGTGCTGCGGCAATAATCTGTTGCACATTCTAAGAACGTCTGAAAACAGACGGGATAGCGCCTTCTGGCTGATGGGCTTAGTGACCGTCAAACTGTGACTTTAAGCTGTGAGTTTAAAACTGTAAAACATTTTTGGCTTAGGCTTGAGTCTATTTTAGCCAGATCTCTGAAGAAGATCATCATTCTTCCTGTCAAGAAATTACTTAGCGAATTACGCGAGAAGACTAAAAATAGCTTTTATTATTTTTTATAGGGGTCGTAATGGAATCTTCCTGCGCGCCATCCTCTGTAAGCGTCTTTCCGGTATTCCGGCTTAAAGTTGAACTGAGTTGGCCAATTACAGCCGAGTCCAGATGTGAGCTATGAATACCTCAAGGTCAGTTGAGGTCTCTTTCGCAATCCTTGAGCTCAGCAGCCTAGTTTTTTTTTTAATTTTGCTCTCTTTTCCAAAGTAATACACGTTCTATGAGCTGTGTCGCCTGCTTGCCTGAGATGGCCTAAGCTGATTTGACTAAGTTTATGGCCACATTCCACTGCGCAGACCGTTTTGCTTTCGAGGCAGTCTACGGAATTGTGAGCTGTGCCAAAATTGCGCTGTCATCGGAGTAGGTCAAGATTTGGACAGCTACTAATCGGATGTTGATTCTAATCGTGTATGCACATAAGCATATTTTATGCTTTTTACTATAATTATACTTACTTAAATTCAGACAAACATTACCTAGTTAGATCTTGGCTATTTTGAGCTGATGGCAAAATATTTTGGGATTAGCTTTGACCTGTTGACTGTCTGCCAAGCAAATTAATTAACATGTACATATTGCAAATTTATAATATGATATGTTCAGCTGACAGCCACATAATATCTGCCAGTTAACAAATTTTTTTAAGGCAATTTTTATTTAAATTAAATCAAGTACACATATCGGCAATAATTCATGTATTGTATATAAAATAAACATATTATATGTATATGAAAATATAAATAAATAAATGTAAATAAATAATATGATGTCTGGTTGAAAATTCTTCATTGATCTAAGCTAATCGATAAATTAAAGAGAGTTAATTAAAAACTGTTTTACTTCGATTTCAAATGCCAGCAACTAAAAAAGCCCATTTCCGAAGTCACAAAGGGAGTTCAATACGCAGCTCGAACTACCTTTATAAGTGTGGAAATCAATGTTAATAATAGATCGAGTACATAGTACAATTAAGAAAAATTAATTCATATATGTTAATTATTTTTGACATAAAAGTATCCATTAACCAACAAACAATCCGCGACATTTATATTTATTATCTTACACCCAAATCGAGCACTGACTAGACAAGACAAATTTCCAAGGCAGCCCAAGTAGATATATTTATCCCGTTATCTGCGGTTCGCACCTCCCGAAATTAACTTGTTCGATTTGAGAGCGAAACTGAAAGACCTAATACGAGTGCTGGTACGACTGGAGTTTCTGCCGACGCTGATAGCAAAAGGTCCAAATGCCAATGATAGCCAGTTGAGTAAGTAGGAAAAATGTGGCGGCCGTGATGAGTCCTAAGAGCAAAAGATGGGATATTTATAAAGATTAGACTTTCCTCAATTATTAATAATATAACTGGAAGTATGGCTGGTTGTTCCAGTGTAAAACACAGAAAACTCCTCTCGCTTAGCTTCTTTCGTTGCTTGACGCTTGTAATTCTCAACAAGCTTAAGCAGCGAAAGAGGCACAAGGCGTTCGCATTGAGAGAGACGAAAAGTCTGCAGGCTCTAGAAATAACTAAACCTGTTCTGGTGTTTAGACTAAATCATTTACAAATATTTATAATTTTCCTTATTAATATTGCACTCCTTTAACAAGTAATACCTACCAAATGCATTCACACAAAAGCCGCGGCCCGGATTGGCAGTTGTAAATTCCGTTTCATTATTTTCCGAGTAGCCACCGATACTGGATTTACGACTCTGCTGCTCATCGAAGCCGAATTTGTCAGTGATTTGTATGGACTGCACAAGCAGCATGTCTGTGGGCGCATTAAGCTCACGTTTCCGTCGCATATCGAAGGAGGCTAAAAGAGATATTTGACCTGTTCAATAACACTCCAAGCACGTGGCACTTGTAACTCCAATCTCACCTGTTGTATTCAATGATCGACGCTTGCGTCCGTAGGAGAGCAGGGATCGATACTCGCCGCTGGTGTCCTCCTGATCGCATTGCACAGGCTCACAGCTGGGCATGCAGGGCGTGACCAGGGCACGGAATTGGACAACTTCGCTGGAGGGGAACTTGAAGGCGTCGAAGTTGGAGAGCAGCACCTTGCCGGAGCCATCGCTTTTGTAGATGGGGCCCATTATGAAGTGATCTGTGGGGCAGCCATTCGAGTCGATCAGCGTGATCTCCGAATTGTCCACACCATCGAGAGCGACCAGTTCGCGTACAAAAATCTCGTATGGACTCTGCTCATCCATAATTTGGAATTTCAGGGCCAACGGATCGCCCACCTCGGCAGAGCGCATCATGTCGGAACCGTCGCGTGAGGTGATGCGCATGATTACATTCGGCGAGTCCACAATCACCTCCTCCGAGAGCGCGGGCGTTAGATCGCCGCGCACATCCAAGTTGACCCCGTTGCTCACAGACTTGTTGCTCAGATCGTATTGGCAGGCCAGCGCCAGGCCCAGATCGGAGGAGGTGACAATCATGTCATGATGCTGTATTATAATGTCATTCACGTAGCGCCCACTCTGGCTCTGGCGCACATTGCACTCCAGGTCATGGTAGTTCATGCGCAGCTCAAAGTCCAAGGCGCTGCGCACATCGACCGCGCACGACCTGGGCGAACCCTTGGCATAGACCTTGCCGCTGAACAGCTTGGAGGTGCGTATGCGGGCCAACATGTCGCCGCCGCCACACTCGATGGTCACATTGTAGCAGGAGGCGAGCTCATAGGTGGATGCCTCCGGCACCTCCAGGTAGGGATCCTGCACGTCTGTCAGTGTTGCCCGGCTGTGATGCGACAGACGACAGACCATGTCGCCCGTATCGTTGTAGTCATACGAGTGGCATCTATGGACAAGGCATTGGCAATAGCGAAAAATAATAATTGTTTGTATTTAAATGTATATCGTATGCGCTCACCTGTATGGCGAATTGAGACACAGTTCGCGGCACTCATCCACACTGCTCACTTCCTGATACACGGAGTCAACCGTCTTTAGGATGCGTCCGGGCAATCGCTTGAATTCGCACAGCTTGTTTGGCTCCTCGATGCAATGGTTTTCCAGATAGTCCGTGCCCTCCGTGACCTGGAAGGCATTCGTGCCAGCCAATGTGGAACGGTCCATTTCACTCAGCTCGCAGGCGCCTGATGATTTCTTATAGTTCGCAGATCTGTAAAGAATTTCAAGATTGGGAATAATCATAATCACAATATAACATTCGTTTCCGCGAATTTATCAGTCAGAACTGTTTTACTTGAGAAATTGTGGCAACCAGATGCATGAACAGAAATTAGGGCGAGTCGCTGGTTTAAGCCGTGAATCCTTTCCTTAATGAGTAAGTACATATATTAATGAAAGCACATATTACCTGCAGGTAAATTCCGTTTCGCTCAGGCAGAGCTCGAAGCACTCGCGCCGGGAACCGACTGGGACGCTGCGTTTTACTTCCGACTTCAACCTATAATTTTGTACACGGTCGACGAACCAGGCCCGTGAGCAGGGCTTCGCGGAGAGGCAAGACTTCTGCGCATAGATTGTGAAAACAGGAAATTGCGATTTCGTCAAGGCGCCTGAAATCCAAATGAAGATGCACGAATATAATATATATATGTATCAAGATTTGCTTTTGAAACTGTTTAAATATGCAAATATCTGTTATTTATGATTTACCTGGCAGCTGATCGGCATGCGCTGAAAATAACACGCAGAGGCCAGTCTCATAGTTGACGGACTGACAGGTTTTGTTCTTGAGGCAAGTTGCGAGACAATCTGTTAGCATCAAAGTGCCAGGCAGGGAATCCAAAAGCCTGCCAGGAGCGGAAAATACATAACTAAAAATAAGAAGGAAATGAAGACATTTGTCAGATTTTTAATTAAAATTGAAATTGAATATCTTTCGTTAATTAACTTGATTTCTTATGCCTTACCCAGTCACAATTTCGAAACCGACTTTATCCGTTTCACAGAGCGCATTGTTCAAGTAGAGCTCCTGCTCGCTTAGATGCACTGCGTCCTTGGACTCCGCATCTATATCGGCTGACAGATCAAAGCCCGCGTTTCGATTCTCAGTCTCGGTGGCTGGCACTATGTCGACTGTCACGCCCACCTCTGTCGTTGTCTCCGGCAGGTCAGTTATTGTGCTCTGCTCGCCGAGATCAGCCAGTTCATCGGGGCTGGTGGTGGCCACAGTCGCCGACTCTTGAGGCCGAGTCAGGCACAGCAGCAGCACTCCAATCGCAAAAGGTTGCAAAAAGGTTTTGCTAAACAGTCCATTGGCCATTCTGATGGCTAAAAGCACACATAAATATCAGGCAATAATTCTTGTGAACTATATTGTATATATATATTGTATAGATATATAAAATTAATGTTTATAGCATACACGAAGAACCTCATAAAAGATATTCCATGTAGCATAGACAAACTGCCTTAAGCTATGTCATCCAAGCGATTATTCATGTTTAATCTTTGCTAAGTTTATGTTTATAGTATATTTACAGGGCAATATTCCCGCTTAGTTTTCCTTACATCTGCTCGAAAGCTATAAACTCTCTATTTGGCAGTCGGATTACGAATGACCTCTTTCAAAGAGCCAACCTCTCATATATCGGCCACATTCACCCAAAAGGGGCGTGGAAGACGGCAAATATTGGCAGCTAGATTTCAGACAGCCTCCATTAACGAACGAGCCAGATTTGAAGACCAAACTTCCGGAGCAAAAACTCATAGCTCCCCAGTCACAGATTGTCTATCGAGGTATAGAAAGCATGAGAGAAGATGATCTTAAATGTAAGCTAAACGAAATACAACAAGTTCTTGCACTCTAGCTGAAATTAGATTGAATTTCTGTTGGGCAAACGTTTTCGATACACATCAATTTATTTGCGAATGGCCGAGAGCCATATAATTAATATGATATGCACTCAAGAGTCGCAATTCAGGGCGGGTTCGTTGTGCCCCAAGAAGTCTGTAGCATATATACCATATTTCATAACAGGCGGGCACGTAAGTGACCTCATGGACTATTGAGTACGAGGAAAGTCAATTACCTCTTTGGGGAGTGAGTGACCTGGGCTATTGTTCTGGTTCGCTGGCTGAAACTGTGGCTGCACAGTTGCCAAGTTAATGGCCAGCATTTATGCCTGATAGTTGCCAGCTCCAAACATAATGAAAAGGTTGTGAACTTTCGTAGATCTCGTAGATTTTCTCAACATTTTCCATCGACACAAAGCTAAGTCAAACAACAGAGAGAAGGGCTCGGCCAGCTCCACGAGCAGATACACTCCAGCCTTCATAAATACGCGACTGACATGTTTGACTATAGATAAATAAATATTTACATAAAAGCTGTGGGCTCTTCAAAGCGCACGATCGATGCCAATTCTAACTGTGTGCGTTCGGTCGTCAATCGATATTTATCGGTTCTGCGTCGGAATTGTCGTTTTGTTCCACACAAATCAAAGCGCCGAAACGTGTTTTGCTCTGAATTTAATTTATATATATATTTAGAAAACAAGCGAGCACAAGTCTGTCGAATTTCACTTTCCCCAAAAAGTCGCCGCAAAGCATAAAGTTTAAAGACGAATTTTGATTTTCGTTAGACCAAAAGCATGCCCCGACTCAAAATAGATCTCGAGAAACTCGTGCGGCTGACAAGCTTAAGTAATAAATGCCTCGCTACCTGTAAAAATAAGCTACTATCCACACACGCACACTCGTACACATACATATGGGCATTGGCTGAGTTTTCTTTTGGCTGCTTTTAACCGTCTCATTTCCAATTAGCAGAGTTTTCCAAGCGCAACGGCTGGCCAGAGACTACTACTAGCAACAGTTCTTAAAAAACCAACCCATCTCGCATAGTATTCACTAAAAAATTGAACTCACAGGTCGAAAAACTTGTTATTCTAACAGTGAATTTTACTGCGTACGCACACACCTGTGTGTGTGTGTGGGTTTTTACAGTGGCGTGCATCGCGCAAGCCAAACATGAAAATTGCATGCTGCAAATGCCGCTGCGGCTAACAAAAGCTCTCCCAGCAGCCTCTTGGCCAGAAAGCCATGCACCCTAATCTTCATTGGCAACAATGTCGACGCAACGGTATTTGATACACACCGACACCGACATTCACCTGCCCCACACACACCTAGACATAACAATTTCACCAAAAAAAAAAAAAAAAACAAAAAAAATAAGAAAAGAAAAACCGGCTCTTTGCCCAAAAGCCCAGCGCGCGCCTCCGGTTATATTTAATTCATAGATAGTTGCAGCTGTCGTAAGCTCCATTTAATAACCATATCATTATTCTATTTACAAACTGTGCTATCGTATAGTCCATCACAGTCTCGATCCATATGCAAATAACCTTTTATGGCGCACATAAAACCCAACTGGAGAGCACACGAATTGGTATGCTGAGATTCACTTGTTCAATTTCACCAACACTTCAACCGACGTGGTCATCTGTTTGGCCTTTTTTTTTATTTTTTATTTTTATTTGCTTCTTTTCTTTCAAATGCTCAGAAAACCCACACGATAATGAGGTCAATTTGTATACCCTGCGCCTATCGAAAAGGGTATAGTCAAGTTGTCTGCAGGCATGTTACATGCAGGCAGTTCTGATCTTATTATTATTGATAGTTATTATTTTTATTTATAATTGTTATTATTATTCATTTTTTTTCTTCATTTTTATAAACTTATTATTTATTGTTTTATTATTGTTATGTTATTATTTATAACGCTTTCATCATATATGACTCCATTCGTTTTTCCATATTATAAAATTCGTATTTCCCAAACCCATTTTGGTATTCCATAACATAACCAGATCCTATCAATTTCTTTATGTATATATGAAGAGGCTCTGAAAGATCCTCAGCTCAGTTGACGAAGAAGTTATTCTAAGCTTAAAGAGTGCCAACACAGATCTATTATGGTTTCTCATAATATCTTCTGCTACTCCTAACTTATCTAATTTCTCTAATTAACAAATCAGATCTATATGCATCTATAAAGACGCAGTTATATTTTGAAGAGCTGCAGGGTATTATCAGTTGAAGTGACCCATAGACAGTCAGGTGACTATGGGATACCCTACATCCCGCTTCGTATTGTCATAACATACATTCATAGTTTCTCACACACACACATTCACACGCGCACATGCACAAATACATTAACAAAATTCGCATGCTGCAAGTTCCGCACTTTGGGCAGAGGCTGTTGCTCCGCTTTCGCACAGCTCTAAAATGGGTTGTTTAATTAAGGTGTGAGCGGGAATAGGTGTGAAAAATGAAATAAACTTAATGTGTATTCTTATAATTTCCAAGATATGCTCCAAATCGGGGACTGTATATGGATCCTGACTATGCTGGCCGATAAACCCTGCAAGGCTCAAGCCAGAACCAGCAAACAGGGGGAGAGGGCCGTAAACTCAACTCTAGAATTTAAGGAACTCCATTTTGATGGGCTCTATTTACCCATATTTAAAGCTATACAAATAGACTTTGAATAGTTGTCTATGCGTGATGTCATTTTAAAGTCCACACTCGGGCCAAAATCAATACAGCCGAAAGAAAAAAAAAACCCGTTAAAAGAACTTTCTCTCTATTCTGCATGCTGCGAGTTCGGGCCAATTTGATTCATTCACCGAGCGGCTCGATTATTTGTGTCATGCAGTAGTCGGAATTTTCAATAGGCGTTTATCACTGGCAAATCTTGGATGCTTAACGGTGCTGGCCATACCTGCCCATAGTATCTCCATCTACAAGTCGGTGGTCTTAACACCCAAGCTCGGCTCACGTAGATTTCTATGCATGTGTGCGTAGTATGCCTGTTGACACACTTATTAGTTTTTCTGTGTTTCTTTAGGTGTTAGCGGCCAATTATACAGCTAATTTATGATCAAAATTGAGGAAAGAAATTGGCCAGCCCAACACGCAGTTACCAAAACAAAAATCCGTTAAGTTTACCGAGCTCTGTTTATCTTTCGAATTTCCGCATTTTTACGTATGCAGAAATAGTCGAGAATATTTGGACAAGCGAATCATGAATAAAACCAAAAGTAATTGTTAAACAAATTCGAATGGAAAATGATCCATTTAAATATTGAATTGTAAGTAACATAAATAAGGAGCTGAGCTGGAATGAAAAGAAAGTGAACCTTTTAATATTGAAGACATTTCTTCCAGCAATATTGGAATGAACACAAAATGAACATTTTTGTTATTGAAAGTATTACGCCCATTTGAATTATAACAATACAATATTGTGCGTAAAATACCTGCAAGATCAAATATATAAAGAACGTATCCCTCCAAGTTTATTTCACTTCAGAAGGGGGCTAAGTTGGAGTGAAAACAAAAGGAACCTTAAAAAATTGAAGATGTTCCTTCCATTACTACTGGAATTATGAGAAATAACTTAAGAATTAAGCTTTTTGTTAAAAGGATAGTATATTATTTATATAAAGGTCTCTTTCCAAGAAGCTGATTTCACTTTAAAGCGAGGCTAATCTGGAATGGAAACAAAATGAACCCTTTTGATCATTCCATATTCCTTCCAATATTGGAATAATGATAAATAACTCACTCTTTAACATGAGAACGTTAATGAACAATAATATAATTAATTTAAATTTACTGTTATATCTATGAAGAGCGAATTCGTGGTCATCCAACCGAATAGCTGTGTTTTAATCAAGACAAACCCACGATTGGAAACCTACTGTTATCCCATTGTGGAATATAACTGGAAAATGCAACCGTTCATTAGAGCTTTGGACGGAAGTTGTTGATTTTTATTTAAAATGCTTTGAATGTGTTTTATGTTATGTTATTTCTTTCTTAGCTCTTGGCTCTTAACTGCCGCGCTTTTTCCCACTGCAGTCTTACAGTTTAGTTTAGTGTCTTACAGAATCTTTCTTTGCCACATTTATGCACTGCCTCCTATCCATCCTCCCATCCCCAGAGATGTCCGACGCCGTTGTCGCTGCGGTTCGAACAAACCGGTTAACATCTTTTTTGTGATTTTTCTTAGTCATTCCTCCAGTAAGTGTAATGGTTTTTTTTTTTTTATTCTTAAGGTATGGGTAATGGTTTTTTGTTATTTTTTTTTGTTGCCGAAGCTGTTAATTTACATATGAAATATGAATATATATACACATATGTAAGAATTGTGCATAGACCGAAAACAAAGTTGGCTAAAATGTTGGATGACAACTATAGAAAAGAGGCTTAACACTTGGCCAGCTGGATTAATTTGTTAAACAATAATCCTAATTATCGTTTCCTTTGCAAACATACTTAAACTATTTGGTTAGTTGCGTCACTTACCTTACGTATTGCACTTGGTTTCTCTTTTGGTACTTTTTTACTTTATAACGTCATAAATCTCATAATCTGCTTAATGGGATGTGTGTAATGTGTCCCAACCTTGCAAGCAACAACTTGCAAGAAGACCGATCACAAATATTGATTTTATTTTATATTTCACTTCAACTCAGACGAGAGACAGAAAGCCGAACTCATCCAAACGATGGCTAACGCAGAACTAAAGTTTTTCCAGCAGTTGCTTGTTATAAAAGTTAGAAAAAAGAAGTTCTGCAGACGCAGCTTACTTTGGTGCTCTTGGGGAGCGGACCACTCCAGTCATATGGGCAGCAATAGAAGAGCAGCGCAATATGAGAGAACACCGAAGAGCACTTCTTTGGGGCAGAAAGTGTATGATCTGCAGCTAAAATAAATTTCACGTATGTTTACCAACATCTTGTTCGAACCGAATCTCTCCACCATCCAACTCAAACTTGTTTGCGTTCTTACTATCCAGCAAGTGGCTCTTAAGAGCGGACTTGTCGGAAGCGGTCAATGTACGATGTTGAATGTACACCTGTTTAATTTGAGTTCTCTCTCTCTCTTAATTTGACGTCGCCAGTAATTTATATCACCACCTTCCCCTCGAACTAACACATATTGTTAGGTGTCTCTTTACAGTCAGCGGTAATGTGTAACAATGTGCGCTCGGAGGCTGCGTACTTGGCTCATTTACTAGGGACCTGCCACAAATGGCCACTAATGTAACTCAATTATCGTTGTATAATTTATAACAATAATGTTAACAGTTATTTTGCGTAAGCTGCTTGCAATATAAATGCCTGTATACCCTGCACCAAGTGTGTTTACATAGGTAAGATAGCATACGTTACATGGTAAGTAGTTGATATAAGATATGACATATATAACGTAAATTTAAGGCTCCAGGAAAATGTCTCTTTTAGTCGCCTCGTACGACAAGCAGTGACATACTGTGGTGGTTATTCTTGTGCCCGCCAACCACACGGGTGAGTCCGTGAACTGCTCTTTTACCAAGCTTTATCATTTAGTTTAATAACGCATACAATAAGATACAGATATATTTAAATTTACTTGTAAAATAATTAGAAATACACATTTGAAAATGCGCCAATGTTTCATAGCTACCAGCTTACCACAGCTATACAAATCGATTAACGATACTAGAGATCATACAATGTGATTTTCGGTATGCAAGTGTTGTATAACGACGTGCAATCGGTGGCTTCATATTCGATGTTTCTTTAATATTTCCATAAACATACATTTTTCGCTTTTCAGAATTATAATTAAACGATTTAATTTTAAACTATAAATCAACTTCGCTGCATATATTTTTGGAAACAATTATAAAATTCAATAATCGATAGGCACCCGCGCAATGTTTGGGGCTCTGTTAGGGCATTTCTATCTAATGTTAGAGACAACGATTCGGAGTAAGTTGGCAGCTGTTAAATTTAGATTAAACGTTTTATATGTTTTTGCATTAAAAAAAACGCAAATTATATTATATAATAACAATAAATCTATTTATAACAACATTTTATACGAAAATGCATATTTGTATTTAACTCTACATTGTTAACCGCAGTTTATGTGCGACGAAATGAATGCTTGCTGTTAATAACAGTTGACCAAAATGTTAAGGCCTTGTCGCTGTATATATGTATGTTAGTTATTTATTTTCACACTGTTTGCAGGTTAACTCGTTGTTTGGCACAAATTTTACTTAAATTACAATGGGAAAACGTCGTACGCAGTCTCTAATCGACTCAAATTCGAGCGATAGCGATAGCGACGCGGACACTAACTTGGAATCGGTGAGTTATGCATAAGAAATGTGGAAGGACGCCATTTCCGCGATGTAACAAATCAATGCGCAGAATTTTATTGTAAAAATCTATATTTATTTGGCACGCAGGACTTGTTGTCGCTGGCCAGAAAGAGAAAGAAGCCAAGCAATGCCACCAAAGCCCCGAATTCAAAGTCCGATTCAGATTCGGACTGGGCAAACAATAAATCAAGTGCGCCAGCCTCAAAAAAGAAGCGTCCGAAGAAGACAAGCAGAGATTCGAGCTCTTCCGAAGAGAATTGGGATGACGACAGTCAGGATGAGGTCGCAGCGCCCGTGGAGAAGCGTGCTGAGCCCGAACACAAGAAGCCAGACATTCAAAGTGAACAGGAGGAGGGCGAGGTGTCCGACAGCGATTCAGACAATGAGAAATCCAAGTCTAAATCATCATCGACGTCTGGCTCTCCCTCTGGATCGGATTCATCCAGCTCGTCATCGTCTAGCTCCGATTCAGAGTTTGATGATGGCTACGATGACGATTTAATGGGCGACGAGGAGGACCGCAAACGGCTGAATGGACTGTCCGAAAAGGAGCGCGAAACAGAGATCTTCAAGCGGATTGAACAGCGCGACATTATGCGCACCCGATGGGAGATTGAGCGGAAGCTTAAACTCGCCCGTCGTGGCGAAAAGAACGAGAAGTCAAAGACAAAGGGAGAGCGTGCCAAAAAGAAGTCCAAAAAGGACAAACGCAGTAAAAAATCAAAGGACCTGGCACCACCCGTGCCGGCAGCAACCACAGCTGACATAGATACCAGTAAGAGCAGTGCGCCAGAGGCGCGCGCTTCGGCCAAGAGCCCCTCGCCCATACCATCGATACGCGAGGGTCCATCGACGTCTGGCACTGGCTCCAGTACAACCAGCAGCAGCGCAGAGAAAAACGCTGAAGAGCAAAGTTCGAGCAGCGTAGCCGATTACTTTGATCACAAGGAGCGCTCCAAGGAGCGCAAGAAGAACGTCGAGGCAAATAAAACCGATGACAAGCGCAGCAACGCCATGGCCATGCTCAAAGCCAAGCGTGAAGGCAAAGCCAAGCGAGGTAAGTACACAATCATCCACAAAATCCATAGATAGTAAAACGATTTTAATTGCAGAGGAGGAGGAAGCCAAGCGACAAGCAGAACGCGACAGAGATGATGACAAAGAGGAACTGGAGAGCGTCTCTGGCTGTAAATCGGCGGTCAAGCTGAAAGCGTCGGAGATCTACTCAGACGATTCGGGCAGCAGCGATTGGGATGACGAAGAAAAGCCAGCGGGCAAACGTTCACGTTCGAACAGCAGCAAGGCATCTAGCGAATCCGAGGACGACGAGAAGGCCGCAAAGAGCCCCGTGTTTATAACAACCCGCGAGGATCTTAACAAGCTGCGGCTGTCCCGCTTCAAAATGGAGCGCTTCGTCAATCTTCCCATATTTGAGAGCACCGTAGTCAACTGCTTTGTGCGCATCAGCATTGGCAACAATGGCCAGAAGCCCGTGTATAGGGTGGCCGAGATCGTGGGCGTTGTGGAGACCGGCAAAATATACACACTTGGCACGACACGTACCAATCGGGGATTGCGTCTCAAGCACGGCACACAGGAGCGCGTTTTTCGGCTGGAGTTTATATCTAATCAGGAGTTCACCGAAACCGAGTTTAACAAATGGGTTGAGATCTGCCAGCAGCAGCACGTGCCCATGCCGACAATTGATTTGATTGAGATCAAGGCGAACGATATTAAGAAAGCCCTGAATTACGAGTTTAAGGACGAGGACGTAGACAAGATTGTTGAGGAGAAGAATCGCTTCCGCAACCGCCCCACCAACTATGCCATGAAGAAGACCTGCCTCATGAAGGAGCGCGATGCGGCTATGCTTCGTGGCGACTACGATATTGCTAACGATCTGGGCCAGCAAATCGATCAGCTAGAGAGTCGTGCCTCCGAGCTAGACAAGCGACGTTCCCACAGTCTCAATTTGATTTCCTACATAAACGACCGCAATCGTAAGCGCAACGTGCAGGACGCTGAGAAGGCCATCATGGAGGAGGCGCGAGCCAACAAAGGCATGAAGATATCGGATCCATTTACGCGCCGCATTACACAGCCACGCATGGGCTTCAAGGGCACCAAAAAGGATGACGATGAGTCGCTGGCAGTCCCGTTGCCACCGCCACCGCCAGGCAAAAAGAAGCCCAATGAAACAAGCACTTCCAATGCAAAGGCAACAGATGGCAAGGACTACAGCTTGTACTCACTGCACGACTTTGACATAGACCTAGACGTACCGCTGCCAGGTAAGAGTCCAACAGATACCTTTATTCCAATACTTTGTTATTAACACGCCTCCAATTGCAGTGAACAGCGCCAATGCGCTGCCAAAGCCAGCGAACAAACCAACCGAGACGGTGTCCAAGCGTTCACTGAACCTGGAAGATTACAAAAAGAAGCGCGGCCTCATCTAGCTGCAGCGTTCAATTAACAATGTTCTTTACTTAGGTTAGTGTGGTGTTACGAGTAATTAAACGTAATCGATTATTATGACGACAAAGGAGGATAGTTTGTAAACGCTCCAACCTGGCTCCATCACCTATAGGCATAGTTTACAAATTGTATTGTATGTTTACGAATATATCGCTATGTACTGATATAGAGACCATATTTATTTTTCATTCAGGGGTGTCATAAGAAATCCCCATTCGGACGAAATAACCAAGACTTTCGCACAGAAGACAAATGCGTTTGCATTCCAATGTCCCGTCCCAAGGGAGTTCTCTGATACTTCTGCCTCTGTTCCTCGGATCTATGTTTATTTATAACAATTGTCACTGGTTTTATATATACATATAATTGATGAACAACAATTAGCAAAAATTATACAAACAAAACTCATTTACCAGCTATTTTATATTATTATAATTACGTATAGTCATAGGATCGCATGTCCTTTTTATTTTTATAAGCGATAAGTTTTTAACTGTATTAGTTGCTATATGATCCAATAGTCAATGTTTTATAAATTTACAATTGTATTTGTTATTTCCCACAGTATACATACATACATATAAGTGTACCTACAACCAAGCTTGCATACGTACATCAACAACTAATATTAAATACATCGGTTGTAAGCATTCAGCGCTGTATTAATTTTAAATGAAATCAGTTATTGTAGTCAGGTTTACAAATAAATACGTACCATACTCAATGATCGCCAACAACTATCCACACGATGTGTCCAAAATGTATTTGTAATTGCCCAACTGTACCCCGATGATGAGTACATCACTGACTCCAAGTGGGACCTCCATATGGTTATACATATATGTATGCTGTTCGTCTCGAAGCGGGCTAAGTCTTTCGGGCGTCTCTTTAATTGGTTTGCAGTTTGTTTGCGCAGCTGTTGGAGCCCCCTTCGTGTCCACATTTAATTTAATTAATTCGATGAAATTGTCTTTTAATTGAAAGCGATCGCCTTTCACATGTTTTGCGGGAGTTCGAATTAAGCTACGTCAAGTTGTCAAAGGTCACCATCGAATCGAGTGGAGAACAATAAATACATATACTCCATATATATATTACGTCAACGGATTTAACAGACTACAAATTTGAATATCGATGAACTCTTGGGAGTATTGCCTATCAGAATAAGTACTTGGGGTTTACTGCTGTCGATATTCGGAATTTGAGTTTGATGAAAATTATATAAGCGATTCTTTTATAACATTTAAAAAGTCGAGAACTATCTATGGATACATAGTTATATCGACCCAACTTGTTGAACTAAACATCTCCGCAGTATATAATATAAGCTTTTCTAGAAAGTCTTGAAAAGCTGAAAACTTTCTGCGTGGGCATAAAATAATAATTATGATCAGTTAAAAGTTATTTTGTATTAAAAGTGTATAAGTAATACAGTGAGAATTATAATTATTTATAAATAAAAATAATAAAAATGTACAAAATAACAATATATTCAAGTTTTATTTCTGGAGTCCTTTGCAAAGAAATTCCTTGGGAGAATGAATCATATCAAGCAAAATTCTCTATATTTATTTATTATAATCCAAAATAATTGATTATCTTAAAATTTCAATATATTTTGGATGTGTTAAGAGGTAATTCGTAAGTTAACCATTTTTTTGGAGAATGTATGGCATCAAATAAAGGGTACGAGAAATAATTCCCAAGATAAGGAAAGCTGTTTGTGTCAAGCAAAGCAGACAAATATTCGCTATTATGCAACATTAATATAGATACAATATGAAATTGAATACACGTTTTTAAATGCACTTCCGGTAATAGTTTTTTTCTCCTATTAAAATCTTTGCATTCGATTCATAATGATAAGTATATAGGGGAGGGTCCAGTCCCAGGGTTTTAACTGTGACAGTCGGCAACCAGCTCGCTCGCTTTTGGGGCCATTCTGCGAGACAAACTGTGAATGTGTGAATGTGTAAATGTGTCTGATCCGATCACAATGATGTGGCGGACACATATATATATAGTGTGTGGCACAATGACATTTTATCTCAAAGTATGCAACAGCAGCACGTTCTCTGAAGCGGAGAATGTAATAGATCAGAGGCAGCATCAGAATGGGATTCAGAATTCAGAACTACCGATGCATGGCCCATGCAAATGGACATGCTTGGAGTGGGTGTATGGAACGCTCCGCTGCATCTATAGATACATCAAATAAATATATATTTATATATATATATATATATGCTGCCACTTAAAATGTATCTCAAACTGGCACATATGTACTCGAGCACAATACGCGCCTCCGTTGCCGAACATTAAAGGCAGCTAATCAACCGGCATCCCAGCAAGAAAGAGCAAGTGACTTTTTGAGCTGTCTTCGGCGTCGCCTCTGTCACTGTCACTGCCTCTGCTGCCGCCCTCTGGGGCGACTCTGAAGCCGCCGCATCGAACAGATTCACATCGGCCGCTCAAGCGTTCAGTTGAGCTCGGGATTGCAAACGCGCCGGAACATAGTTTAAATAGCGACACGCGACCAAGGGGAAGAGCTACGCATAGATTCGATTATCCGTCGTGAATTCAAATCACAGTCTCTTGTTAAATTTAAGTCCAAGTGCCTGCAATATGTGCCCAATGAATTTGTGCCTAATATCGCTGTTGCTCATATTGCCCCTCGTGAGAGGCGAGCTCAATTTCAACAATGATCTTGAGAATCATCAAAAATTTAAAAGCGTTCCAACTACCATAAAAACCTACGAAAATGACACCGTGTTATTGCCCTGCCAATTGGATAGTAAGCGCCACTAAATAAACAAATCAATAATTATATAATTTATAAATTAATGTTTTAATTGAATTTTAAGAAACGCAATAAAATTATTTGAATTAAGAGAAAATCAAATGCAGTTTAGGCTACCAATTTAATGGGCCTTGAAAGTGCGCTCCTTTGTTGGGCCCGTTCTATGCGCAATTGGACACAACAATAACATTTAATTTGGACTCTAAATTGAGGTTCTTTGGCGTTTTGAATGAATGCACAAAAGACAGCTAAGGAAATTCGTTCATCACAATGGATTTTCATCTTCTTCTTTTTTTTTTTATTATTATTATTTTCTATAATAGACACGATAACGGATTTGATTAATTAAATGTCGACTAGTCGGTCTTGAAGTAGCTGCGCCTTAAGACTTGCCACTTTCTAGGGTTAAAGAAGGGTGCATAAATAATTTAAATAATTATAATTATTTATAGCAGGGAATTTCCTCAAAAATATATATATACAGACTTATTTAGATTAGAAAAGGATTCTTTCCATCCTTAACTATATATGGACAGAAAATCAAATATAATCGAGAAATATTAAGAATGTACTTACCAACTGTTGAGAATGTTGAATAGGGTTTAATGTTATGCTTGTCCGCAGCTCCGTTTCACTATGTGCGCTGGCACAGGGATGATGTGCCTTTGGTGGACTCGCGTCATCCGGAGATTCCGCCCCCGGAACGTGTGGTTTTGTGGTCAAACGGCAGCCTGCAGGTGTCAAATTTAAAATCGGAAGACACTGGCGACTATTACTGTGAGATTATGTCGAACAGCAATCACGCCGTCCAGGTGCATGCAATTGAGGTGCAGTACGAGCCCAGCGTTGTCACGGAGCCGAGCGGAGTCCTGGAGCTGCCCATTGGCGCCACCTTCGAAGTCGTCTGCATGGCCACGGGCGTGCCCCAGCCGGCGATCAGCTGGCGGCTGAACGGCAACACACTGGACCAATACAGCAATGCGGGCAATCGACAGAGTCACATCTTTGAGATTAAGTCACGGAGCATGGCGGGCCTGATTGAGTGCCTGGCCGCAAACGGAGTGGGTCAGCCGGCGGTGGCGGGAGTTCAACTTCGTGTTCTCTGTAGGTTTGCGGTTGCAACCAATTTTCGACTCTGACAGTAATTGCAATCGATATACTTTCAGTTGCTCCGGAGCCGACGCTGTCGCATCCTGTGGTGTACACCAAAGTCGGAGATCGGGCACAACTGGAGTGCATTGTGGAGGCGGCGCCAGCTGCGACGCTGCAATGGTTCCATTATGGTGTGCCCGTCCAAATGGGCCCACACATCAACAGCCAGGAGACGGAAATGGCCGGCAGCCATGCCCTGGACAGCTATGTCAGCCTGGTCAAGCATGTGCTGACCATCAAGAAGGTGCGCGACGCCGACATGGGACAGTACGAGTGCCGAGCGAGCAACTCGATTGGCTTTAGGAGCGCTACCGTCGAGCTGACTGGACGTCCAATGCCCTGCGTGTTCAAGATTAATCCCGGCACCCAGAGCTCCACGTCACATGTGCTGGTCTGGCAGACGGAGAGCATGCTGCCGATAATGGAGTTTAAGCTGAGATTCCGACAGATTCCATCAGGTAGGCGAATGTCCTAATATTTGTTAAGCCTATTGAAAAACGTTTTCTTTTATTTCTAAAGCGAATATCACAAGGCCAGTGAAAACAAACTGGACAGAACTGACAATTCCAGCTCAAGTGACCATTGGTAAGTTAAACATTAGACAAGTCGAGTGCTGTAGTCGGGAGTGACCGACTAAGGGATACCCTGAAAAGAACATCGAACGAACATTTCCTCAATCCCACACTTTATATTCTAAATTCATTTCTTATTAAAATCGGTGTCTAAGGTCCGATTCTGATGACATTTTCACACACTTAATTATGATATACAAAAGTGTTTCCTATTTTTGAGAGGAAAAAGAAGGCTTTCAGAAAGGGGAAATATTTGCAATCTTTTTGTTATACGAGAACCTACATACCAAGCTTAATTTGAGTTTTGATTATAAAAATAACCAAAAAAATAATAAATATTTCCATATTTATGATTCTGTAAGTAGACTCCACTTATTTGCAAGGCTTGCAACTCTTTCCCTCTTCATAAAGAAAACAATTGGACTAGTTAATGATTCAATCATTCCCACCTCGTTTGCACATTCGTTAATCATATATTCTTCCCCAAACGCAGGTCCTATTTACATAACGTCATACACTCTGCATGGCCTGCAGCCTGCCAGTCTCTTTGAGGTCTCGGTTCTGGCAAGGAACAGCTTTGGCTGGAGCGATAACAGCAAGACCGTGCGATTTGCAACTGGCGGCGAAGGTAAGTCCATGAGAGTCTTCTTAATCTGAGTTTTATAAACTTTGCAATTGTAAATTTTAGTTGAGCTGCCCAACTATTCAACGGAATCGGAACTGCAATATGATGCCACGGAAGAGATCTTTGAGAATGAGATTACGCAGAGATCACATATTTTCACAGCCAGCATGACACATAACCGCGCAACAAACTGTGTTTATAGTACCCTGGTATATCTTACGATATTTATGCAAATTTGCCTCGCTATGCGCTACACATAACTAAAGTTAATATAATTATTTTTGTACTGAATGAAAGGTTCCCAAAAATAAAGAAATTTCCTAAATTAATTTTCTATTTTTATATCCGCAAAAAATTAATCACAATATACTCACAGCATTTATCCTATCCCATATTTAATGCAACTACTTTTTACTCCTGCCTGACCGTTTGATAAAGCATGGGAGGTAGATTGATCTCTTCTGGTTCGCGCTCCGGGGTAATGCACCACAAGGCATCAAAGACGATCAATTGCAAAAGGCCTGAGCCAGCCGCACAGTCCTCGAACGTAATT